GAAGTGCAAATGATGCTCTTTAATCGCTGAGCTGTCTCCCACCCCCTCATTAAATTCCTTAAAAGTGAAAGCAACTGTTTATTTAATCAAAATAAAAATAGAATTTAGGCCACTATAGAACACAACTAAAAAATACACAAACTACCCACTAGAAATATAAATTGTGTTTAAAATGGTAAATTGTTGCTAAGTACAGAGCTTGCAGGAAGAGCATCATTCTCCAGCCTTGTTCTCTCTCTGTGTTGACGTCATGGAAACATGACTGGCCTGACATTGTGTCGCCACTGTCACATCTGTCAATCAGACAGCTGCCAAACTCCACGGAGAGCCAAACTCCACGGAGAGCCAGGGAGTCAGAGGAGACGTTCCAGTTCCCTGCTCCAAGTCGAATGAATATTTGTGGAATGATGCACAGTTAGGGAAAAGAGGTCTTGAAATGCAGGTATCTGAGTTTGCCCGGACTGGAGTTTTAGAAACAGTTAGAAAATTCAAGAAACTAACAAACTTAGATGGACCAGTAGGGACTTTCCCAAATAGACTAATTGATTAAACTGGTTTCTAAGCCAAGTGATTTTAGTATTTTAATTTACGGAAAATATCTGATCAGTGTCTTTTGTGGTATTAAAGAAATGATCCACAAGCAGCTAAATTTATTTGGTGTCAAAACTGGATGGATGATTGTGTACCTGAAGATAGCAGGCTAGAATATTTCTGACTTCGTTCCTTTGAAAATGATAAGCCTTTTTACATCTTATGTTTATTATTGTGTGTGTATAGGTGCTTTGTCTTCGTGTGTATATGTAAGTGCAATACATGTGCACAGTGCCCACAGAGGCCAGAAGAGGGGTTGGGTCCTCTGGAACCGGAGCCACCGGTGCTTGTGTCCCTCAGGGTGGGTGCTGGGAATCAAATCTAAGTCCCCTGGGAGATCAGCCAGTGCTTTTAACTGCTGAGCTCTGTCTTCAGCGCCTGTGATGAGCTTGTTAAAAGTTACTTCTTAAAAGTAACTGATATCCAAGCCTGGCAACCCATGCCTGTTTCTTCAGCACTAAGAACATTGAGACAGGAGAATCGTCACAGGTCTGAGACCAACCTGAACTACATACTGAGTTCCTGGCCAGCCTGGGCTACTGGGTACGGCCCATCAAAAGGATTAAAAAGGAGCTGACATGAGTTATTAGAACTCTGATCTTTAAAGCTTTGTTTCTATCACCTAGCATGGTAGTGCACTCAGGACATGAGGCAGAATTGTTTTAAGTGCAAGAGCAGCTTAGGAAGTAAAATCATGTCTCAGAATATCAATAAAAAACTCTTTAGTGAAATTTGTTTGGTTTGGGTTTGGGGAATTGATGTGTTTTGGATGTTTTTGTTGTTACTGCTGTTTGTTTGAAACTGTTTTCATACTGTACCACAGACTGAACTTATGTATGTAGCCTAGGTTAGCCTTGAAGTTGCTGTGATCTTACTGTCTTGAGTGTCAACTGAAAATCAAATCTAATAAGATAAAATTTTAGACCATGTCTCAAAACAAAATCCTGTCTAGCTACAAAGAAGAGAATATACAAATATGGGGCCAAGGAAGTATTTTGTGGAAGCAATTCAAGAAAAATTATTGTAGGGTTGTAATTAATTCTAGGGTTCCTAGAATTAATAGGCTCTTGGTTATAAATTTTATGCCCACCACAAGTGAGATAAAGATGACTCTTAGCCTAGTTTTTATTGGTCAGATCAAGTTTGGCATATCTTGTTCCTCAAAGACTTGAAAAATCTTGTGTAAGATTTTGAAAGATGCAGAACAAAGACAGATTTTATCAAGTGCTTTTACAACCGTATGAATAGATTCTGTAAACACACACTTTCTCCCAGGAAGGAAGACTGGCAAGAGAATACTGTCAAGACAGTGTAGTATTTATTTAATTGATAGCATGTTTGCTATTTCCTAGTACTGTGTGTGTGTGCGCGCACACACACACACACTGTAATGCTCTCCTGACATTAAAAAAGTAGAGGTGTCACCAGGATTGTTCAGTGGGTAAAGGCCCTTGCCGCCCAGCCTGACCGCCTGAGTTCAGCGCTTGGTACCAGTGTAGTGGAAGAAGAGAGCTGACTCCCATGCTGACCTCTGACCTCCACACATACAGTGGTGGGCAAACATACGCAGGCACTAAATTAGGTAAATGTCTTTAGAAAGTAGAAAGGAAATCCGTTTTAATTATCTTAAATAACTGACGCACTTCTGTGTCATGTCGGAGTATAGTTTGTGTAGTGTTGTTCCCTTCCTTACTCCAGGCAACTGTGCCCTTACTGACACCTCCCATTGTAACCAGTCCAAGCTTGGTAAACTATGTTTTAGCAGTGATGTGTGTAGAACTGCTTAGTGCAGTGATTATTTGAAGTATCGTGTGGTGTAGGGTTGGGGTGTGATTCTCACCCCATTTTTCTAGCTGGGCAGAGTCCCTTCTCCTTCTAGCCTTCCATTATACAGACCTGTGCTACTCTTTTGTAACTTTGGTTACAGAAAGAAAATACTAGATAAAAATTAGGGAAGCAGTTTGTGCTATGGAGAATTAATTACACAGTCAACCTGAAGCAGCTGTTACAACTTTGGGCATTGCTAGGTTTACCTACCTAGCTTCTAGTAACCAGTATGTCACAAGTTAACAGTCAGATGTATCTTGATCAAAACTACCGAGTTCCTGACCCTAAATTTTCTCTCTTCAACCCTCAGTTAAATTGTATGTACTTTTTTCTTGCTGTATTTCTTTCAGTCCGATTTCTGGAAGTGATTAATGCTATCCATCTAATGTTGCTATACCTTTTCCTACCGTTCTCTTCATCATGTCTCCATATTTCTGTATAACCCTCTCATTTATTATTGGGGTGGTTGGGACTGTGACCCCTCAACCTCCATGACAGGATGCCGGTGTGGACCAAGTCTGGTGCAGATGCTGTGCAGATAATCAGCCATGTCATGCCCTGACTGTGTCCACACAGCGTGAGCTCCAGTTCTCCAGACTCCATTCTTTTCTCCCTTGGTGGGGGTGATGGAGGTGTCCTGTTTATGGCTGGACCCCAGCAGTCATTCTCAGCACTGTGACCAGTTAGGAGTCTGCAGTTAGTAACCACTGATCACTACATTATGAGCAAAGCAAACGTCCGTATTTCTCTTTGGCCATAAGCAATTCAGTGAATACATCATGCCCCTTTAGAAAAACAATAGCTTCCTGAATAGAAGGCAAATATTTTTCTAGGCATGGTGGCTTGAGTCTATAATTCCAGCCCTCGGGGAGCGGAAGCAAGATTGCTCTGAGTTCAAAGTAAACTTGAGCTGAAGAGAAAGACCCTTCCTCAAAAGCGGGAATGCTTTAGCTTCCAGTCTTTGAAATGTCACTCCATCTCCTTTTCTTTTCCTCACTTAAGAGCTTGCCATCCTACAAAAGCTCTTGGCGGGGACGAGTTTATCTTCACCTGCTCTTACCTTTCTGTCTGTGGCACTACATATGTTTCAAAGCAGACCCAGGTTCAGTTCCCAAGCCCACACTGGGCAGCTTGTAGCTGCATGGGTGTGGCTGGCAGAGAGACACGTGCATACACTGTACATAAGCCTTCACATGGTTTAAAGCAAATGAGATCCATGATGACCTTCTCCTTACAGCATTTGCTGTAAGAGTGGTGATAACGGCATAGCAGGAGCCCAGCGCCCAGCGCCGTGGCGAGCTCACGTTAGGTTGTAATGAGTGTTGTGAAGAGACTGTCGTGAAATGAGAGAGTAATGGGGGGAAGGGGTCACCCTGGATAGACTAATTTAAAATGAAACTTGTGTTCAAAAGAGCAGGTACAGATCTTGATGTCTTGTGGGAAAACAGGGGCATTTAATAAAGATCAGTGTGAACTAATTATGGCTCTGTTTCTAATAGTGCTCATGTATGACTTTGATTGTATACTCTGATTTTACGTCAGTACTTAATGTGGTCACTGTTAGATTTCAGAAGTCCTTATCTCTGATTCTCCAGTAATAAGACCTGTATCTGTTGTAGCTGATTGACAGGCATGTATTTGATGCTGCACATCTGACAGGCCCTGTTCTATGATTGGAAAGAAGTAGAAATAAAATCTAAAACTAAAGTAGTTTTTAAGGATAATTTAGGATAACTGAGGATAGGTGACTTACTGACTTCAAAATAATATGTTGGCAGGTGTGGCGCCATGCACCTTTAGTCCCAGCACTTAGGAGGCAGGTGGATCTCTGTGAGTTCAAGGCCAGCCTGATCTGTGTAGTAAGTTCCAGGACTACATAGCCAGAGCTGCATAGTGAGACCTTGTCTCTAAAAGACAATAACAACAACAACAACAACAATATAATGTGGTCATTATGAGAAATTTTCCTTCTTATTAGTATTAATGTTCTACAAATATATCATGTCTCCTTTAAAATTAGTTGTCTTCACTAAACTGTCATTGTCTAGTGGAATTTGCATTGTAAATGGAAGCAGGCACAGACCGTGAAAAATAAAGCAAAACAAAGATCAAGCTATTGCATTAAGTGCTGCGTAATTAAACAGTAAAAGATGACTTTCCATTGGGTCCTTTGTTTTAAAGTAAGAATGTTCATCTTAGAGTAGGAATAGGTGGGAAATAGATTGAAAGCTGATTTGGGGACAGATACAGGAGGGAAACATTGGAAGAGAAGGGATTAAATATCAAGGTGTATTTCAAGGGACTTAGACAAACAGGGCTTGACTGAGTGAAAGGTTTGTGTTTGTAACTAACAAGATAAAGCAGAGTCCTCATGCATCAGGATTTGGGCTGTATATAATAGTGGTATATTTCTATAATCTTAAATTTACAATCAATTATTATGTAAAGAGGTTATCACAATACACCAATTTCAATTGTATCATTACTCTAAGTCTGTATACCCCTAAATATGTTATGTAGATTTTGAGGTCAGAGTTCTACTCAGAGTCTTACTCGGGTTAAATTGATGTTTTGTTTTTCAGTTACTTACACGCCAAGTCAATCATCCACAGAGACCTCAAGAGTAATAGTATCCTTCCTGAAACTGGTCTGCGAAGTCTGAAAGCATCCCGACTTTTTCTTCTGCATTTTGTCTTCGTGTTATGTAAAAAGTTTCATGCTAAGTGTAATACGCTATAAAGAAAATTACTCAATTTGCATAGGAGTAAAATAGAGCAGGGTTCAACCCGATGGTGTTTCTATATGACTGGGCTCTGTAGGAAGTCTTTAGTATAGTAGGACTTTGTGTCTTGCTTGCTTACATTTTATGTGCCCTATGAAGTGGATATTTTGTGGCTACCGTTTTAACTCATCCAATCTTGCTGAGTAGTAACAGATACGAAACTGAAGGTTCAAAATTATGTAACGGTGACACGAGAAAAACAATTTTTCTTTTTTTCTCTGAGCCCAGACAGATCCTTCCTGATGTCATCCTTATTCTAATAAAGGACCCGTGCAGCTTCCCCAGCAGTGTTAAAGGAGATCTGGGCCAGCTCAAATTAGAAAGTTCCAGATCTCCTATAGGCTTAAAAAAGCATCATAACCTTATGTTCACATATTTCAAGCCTGAGAAATCTTAAAAGCTTGTCATAAAAGCTGAAGACAACTAATTCTTGTTTAAAATATGCTTGTTGACTTTAGGGGAAATTATGAATTACTATATTTTAAAAAGAAAACTTTTCTACAGAGTTATAGAAACTTACTCCATTACCTGAAATCTTCAAAACACTTTCTTTAGGAGGAAAATGAGATCTATTTTTTTCCTTTACTTACTACACCTCAGATATATTTCTTCATGAAGACCTCACGGTAAAAATAGGTGATTTTGGTCTAGCCACAGTGAAATCTCGATGGAGTGGGTCCCATCAGTTTGAACAGTTGTCTGGATCTATTTTGTGGATGGTAAGAATTGAGGCTATTTCTCAATTGATCTCGTTCTTTAATCCTAAACTAGTGGCGAGTTACTAGAAAGTCACTGAAGATCTTAACTACAGTATTTTTACAGTTCCCACTATTCACAAAAATCAGTACAGTAAGTCAGGCAGAGTGGTATATGCCTTTAATCCCAGCACTCAGGAGGCAGGTGGATGGATATCTGTGAGTTTGAGGCCAGCCTGGTGTACATAGTTCCAGGACAGAAAAGCTACATGATGAGACTTTGTCTCCAAAAAAGGAAAACTGAAAAACACTTTATTTTTTATATAGTCTTTAGCCTTTTTTATTGTCTTTTAAAAAAAAGTATTGCAAAGCTGGTTTCAGTATTTTTTTTTAAGTTTCAGTATATTTTAAACAAAATTCGTATATGTTTAATGTTATTGAAAATACTTTGTCGGGTTTGGTCGTGCATACCCTTCAGTCCCAGCACTCTGGAGGTAGAGGCAGGTGGATCTCTGTGAGTTCAAGGCCAGCCAGAGTTAGGTGAGACCCTGTCTAAAAATAAAAAGAGAAAGCAACAACTTTATGTTTAAATGATCAGTATGCCCTGCTGCTGCTGCTGATGATGATGATGATGATGCTTCTCTCTTCTCTCTTCTTCTGTTTAAAGCATGTCTTAAGAGACCTATTCTTAACAAAATGGCTGCTTTACACTTCTGTTTGAGCCTAAATTGGGAATAGACCTTCTTCGCCCTAGAAAAAACTTTATGATCGTGGGGCAGTTAGAAGAGGAGAGACAAAAGAAAAAGACGGGATATTTTTAGTCAGCTTTGTGCTGTCTGCACAGGTCTGTCTCTCCTTCTTTCTACTTTGTACAGAAGAGAGTCTGGAAGCTGGGAACAAGTTACTGCAGCAGGCTGTTGAAGCGTCATTTCAAGGAACATTCAGGGAACCACAGTGGTCCCTGGTGACCTTTCAGAAGGTCCGTAAGTTCTTCCCTTTGTGAGACCAGTTTTCCTCCTGTCCTTCTGCTGGATGTAGAAGCACATAAGATTCCAGCCAGCTGTTGTTAAGCCAGACACTAGAAAGAGTTGTTACACTATTGTCACTAAACTTAGATTTTGAAAATATAGTTAGCTTTCATTAAAAGTGGGTATTCTCTGCTAATACGTGATCATTTATTTATATGTAAGTGGATTAGTAAATAATTCAATAGTCGAGTTTTAATATCTTAGATATTTAGAGGTACACTTTGTAGGACCTTTGATAATATTTGAATAAAAGCAATCCTGAGTCCAGAGACTTTTGAAACATCAGCTCTAAGTGGAATGAAGGTGTTCTAAATATCTTTGTGTGGTTTTAATCTTTGAGTAAATAAATCTGCCCTAATACTTTTGGGTCACCTTCTTAGAAACTGAAAAATCAGGAGGGCTTTCAAAGTCTATTTGCCTAAATTCCCAGAACAGACTGAAGCAGATTCTGCAAAGTAGTGGCTAAGTCTGTAGAGCTATGTGCAGGGTTCCATTGAGTTGTTTTCTTGGATTGGTAATGGAGTTAGCAGAATGGGAGAGTCAGGGGAGCTGTGCTCTGGCCAATCCCTTCAGTTCCTTAATCGGCCTCTAGTCTCATCACCCGAAATGTTAGACAGACTAGTCAACGACAAGAGCCTTTCTTAGATTCCGTATTACAGTTAGCTAAGTTTCTTTTCAAAATTCTTTGGTATATGATTAACTGTTTTAATTTATTAGAAGAGTTTATTTGGTGGTTGTACCCTGGCTTTCAGGCAACTTTCAGGCATCAAGGAGAAGGGGAGAAACATTTTTGCTTCTGAAATTATCCAAGCAAAAATTTAAAAGAGATCACCACACGCTTCAGCGACGCACTTAGCAAGAGTTGTCCTAGGTCCAGTCTAGGTTTGTTCTTTTCTTAATGGTTTGTATAGTTATATAAGATGTTTCTATTTAATTCCGATTACTTTTTTTGTTGGTACCCGGATCAATGAGTTTATCTTTTATTCTGCCATACTGAATTTTAAAGAGAGCCAGTAGCTGACAATGCACGTCATTACGTCATTGTTGAATAAATCTTTCCAGGTGGTTCCTGCCTTCACAGAAGGAATATGGGGAGCGTGTTCAGTCCTTAAGAGCTCCCGCTATTCTTTCAGAGGACTTGGGTTTAATTCCCAGCCCCCTCAGAGCAACTCACAACTATCTGTAAACTCCAATTCCAGAGCAGCTGCCAACAAAATGTTTGACAACAGCAAAGAGAGAAAACATTGTCCTGCAGCTTCTGCACAGATGCCCCGTCTGCTGGGCCGCAGACTGCTGTGGGAGCATAGTGAAGCGGGCCCCACAGCCAGTTCTGACTGCCGCTGGGGTTGAGTTCTGTTATTCTCCAGGAGATACGTGCCTTGCCAAGACCAGGAACTTTGTCCATCAGCTATTTTTACAGTTTCATTAATAATATTTACCGCCTCTTCAACTCCTTTCTAACAAAACCATATAAGAGATGCAAGGTGAAAGGAGAAACCCACTATTTCTTCACCTATGATTGTGTTTCATACAATAAGAAACTGAGTGTACAGTAGAATGCTTGTTTAAATTTGGTAAATATGATTTGCCCTATAATTTATTTGCCATTTAAATTTCTTGGTATAATTTTCTAATAAGTCAGCCTGTTATATGTTACTCTTGTAAGTAAAGCTTTTTCGGTTTGTTTGTTTGTTTTGCTTGGTTTCTTGAGACGGCATTTTCCCTGTGTAACAGTCCTGGCTGTCCTGGAATTCCGTCTGCCCAAGTGCTGGGATTAAAGGCATGCACCGCCACCAGCATTTTTTATACCACACATTTATGATGTAACTTGGAAGGACATTAGTTGTTTGTGCCTACTCCCAAGCTTTTTATAAGTGCAGCTCTAGTATTTCTTTGTTAATCAAAAATAAGAGGTGGAGACTAACCCTAATAGGAGAGTCTCGAGAACTCTGATAGGATAGTCTTGAGAAATGGTTAGATGGCAGCGATGACATTTGTTCAGAAAGAGGATTGTTGGTAAAATTATAAAATCCTAGTAACACCTCAAGGACATTGGCTCTGAAACCACCTTTCAGATTTTATGAAGCAGGGTTTTCCTCCTTTTTCTTAGTTGGCTTTTATTTCTTTGACCATTCATAGGAGAATTACATAGTAGATGGTTTCTCTAAACAAGGTGCTGCTCTAGGAATTATCATAGTTTGTATTTCAGTCTTTATTCAGCTGAACTTAGGAATAAACTGGAATTTTCCTTTCTTACTTAACAGGCACCAGAAGTAATCAGAATGCAAGATAAAAACCCATATAGCTTTCAGTCAGATGTTTATGCATTTGGGATTGTTCTGTACGAACTAATGACTGGCCAGCTACCTTACTCGAACATTAACAACAGGGATCAGGTAAATATTTATCATCTCTGGGGCTTATTTTAGTGTTTCTCTTAAGGCTTCGGTTCTTTGTAGGAAGGACATCTGGGGATGGAGGCAAACATGAATGATAGAGCTCTTTAGAAAATGTTGTGTGCTTTTGACAGTTATAAGGCTTTTGCTTGAAATGTGAAATCCCCAGTTTTGTGACTAGAAATTACAGGTAGAACAATAGAGTTAATGCCTGGTTCTTGGTTATAGCAGACCTAACAGAATGAGCTCTGGAGCCTGTGGTGGTGTATGCTTTTAATCCCAGCGCTCAGTCACAGAGCTGGGGTATCTCTCTGTGAGTTTGAGATCAGGCTGGTCTAGAGTTCCAAGCCAGCCTGACTTTTGATGAAAGAATGAACTTTTCTGTGGTCCCCGGTATACTTTTATCTTTTGATTGTGTCTCAGTTTGTACTGTCAGAGCAAGGGCTCAGCTATGAACATATTTGTATCCAGTTCTTTCAGAAGTATTAAGCTGTTGTTTAAAACATTAAAAAAAAAAAAAAAAAAGCATGAGGGGCTGGAGAGAGGCTCATTGGAGAGGGGCTGGGGAGAGGCTCATTAGAGAGGGGCTGGGGAGAGGAGAGGCTCATTGGAGAGGGGCTGGGGAGCGGAGAGGCTCATTGGAGAGAGGCTCATTGGGGAGAGGCTCATTGGAGAGGGGCTCATTGGAGAGGGGCTGGGGAGAGGAGAGGCTCATTGGAGAGGGGCTGGGGAGAGGAGAGGCTCATTGGAGAGGGGCTGGGGAGAGGAGAGGCTCATTGGAGAGGGGCTGGGGAGAGGAGAGGCTCATTGGAGAGGGGCTCATTGGAGAGGGGCTGGGGAGAGGAGAGGCTCATTGGAGAGGCTCATTGGGGAGAGGCTCATTGGAGAGGGGCTGGGGAGAGGAGAGGCTCATTGGAGAGGCTCATTGGAGAGGCTCATTGGGGAGAGGCTCATTGGAGAGGGGCTGGGGAGAGGAGAGGCTCATTGGAGAGGGGCTGGGGAGAGGCTCATTGGAGCTGTTTGCTATATAAGCAAGAGGGGCTGGGTTCAGAAGCCCGCACACTTACTTAAAAACAAGCTGTGGCCGTGGCCGTCACCTCAGTGCTGGAGTGGGAACAGAAGTCCCATGTTCACTCTGAGGAGTGATTGAGGACGCCGTCCTGATTCCCGCTTCTGGCTTCAGCATGTATCCAGGCCAGTACACCCAAGAGCATGCACACGCTTGTGCACTCACACACACACCCCACAACAGAGGGGTGTGTCTTCTCCATAATGAAAGTTCTAGCAGGAGGGTAAGTTTCTTCTTTTCCTATGCTCTCATTCCCATTCTCTGTCCCTTCTGAAAGATGCCAGCCAGTGTCATGCAACACCTCACAAAGCTTTGCTCCTGTGTCCCACTGTAAGCTACTAAGACCAGGCTGGCCTCAGACTCACAGAGATACCCCTGCCTCTGCCTCCCCAGTGCTGGGACCAGCGTGCGCCACCAATGCCCGGCTGATTCATTTATTTTCATAAGTATTTATTTATTGGCACTTGGGGTTGAGCATGGGGTCTTGTGTACGTTAAGCACACGCTCTACGTCACAGCCCGCAGATGTTACTTTTTATTCTTTTTACATTCCAGTTCTAGTTCCCCCTCCCTCCTCTCCTCCCGCTCCCCCCCCCACTGATAATCTGACTTTAGCTATGATATGGTATGAAAAAAGGTATATTCTAATGGTAAAAGGATGCTTACTTAATTTTTTGAGAACTTCCTATTGGTTTTCCAAAGAAAACTATACTACTTTGCAATCCTGGACCCCATATGAGATTCTAGATTGTTCCATCAGTCACCACTTGTTTTTTTTTTTTTTTGTTTTTGTGAGGTTTTTTTGGTTTTGCTTGTTTTTGTTTTTTTTTTTTTTTTTTTTTTGTTTTTTTTGTTTTTTTGTAGACATATTAGTAGTTCTAGCATTAGATTTTTCATCTCCATAGAGACTACTAGTTGAGTGAGTGGCCTTTTATGTTTTGTTGTTACTTGTATATAAACACTTTGTTTTTATATAAAGAAATCTGTACTCAAATATTTGCTGGTTTTAAAAACTGTTTTTCAAATGCAGAGTTTAACTATCATTAGTGTATTCTTCACTCAAGAGACATGATTTGCAAATGGAAAAAAAAGAAAGTGTGTTCTAAGCTATCTGTACTCTATGTAATGGTTTGTTAAGGGCTCACAAGCTCAGAGATTTCATTCTGCTGTTCATGAGAATTTACGAATTACGTGCTTTTTTACTGTGCGGTACTGTAGTAAACAGTGTAGGTCTGTTCACCTGCACGTTCGCCCTTCTGTAGTTTGGGGGGGGGGTGTTTTGCATGCAAACTCAGTGTGAAGTTCCGGTAGGGAGATATTGAGACAGTGCCAGACCTTGGGCTCAAGACCTGTATCATCTTATTTTAAGGTTTTTGTTTTGTTTTTAATCAATTATGAATGTAGGGGATTGAGTTAAAGAACTTCAGTCCTAAAGGTCATAGGGTCTGGAAGATGGCTTAGTCAGTGAAGTGTTTACCAAGCAAGCATAAGAATCTGTATTCAGGGGCTGGAGAGGTGGCTCAGAGGTTAAGAGCACTGGCTGTTCTTGCAGAGGTCCTGAGTTCAGTTCCCAGCAACCACGTGGTGGCTCACAGCCATCTGTAATGAGGTCTGGTGCCCTCTGCTGGAGTGCAGTAGGCACATGCAGGCAGAACACTATACATAATAAATAAATCTTTTTTAAAAATTAAAAAAAAGAAGAATCTGTATTCTGATCTCCAACACTCATGCAGAAATCTTTACATGTTGACAGGTGGCTATAATCCTAGCTCTGGGAGACAGACAGAAGGATCCCTGGAGTTTATTGGCCAGCCAGGCTAGCAAGATCATAAATGATCTCCAGGTTCAATAAGAGACCCTATCTCAAAAATTAAGGCAGAAATCAAATGAGGGAACACCCAACATCAATCTCTCACCGGCATGCATATGTGCATTCACCACACAAAAACACACAGGCTCAAAAATAAATAAAAATCAGATTATGTATTAAAATAGGTCTTTTGACTCTAAGGGATAACCATCTCTGCGTTACTTTACAGAAAAGTATGGGGGAACTCTGTGTGTGTGTGTGTGTGTGTGTGTGTGTGTAAGACAGACAGAAAGAGATTGAGATTGATCACTTCATAGGGCTACACAGAGAAATCCTGTCTCAAAAAAAAAAAACAAAAACAAAAATAAATTTAGGTCAAAAAGTTGTTGCTCACACCTTTGCTTCCGGCACTCAGGAGGCAGAGGCAGACAGACAGATCTCTGAGTTAAAGCCAGTCTGGCCTGTGGTGTGAGCTCCAGGGCAGCCAGAGCTACACAGAGAAACCCCATCTCAAAAAAGCAGAAAAAGGAAAAGGGACTGGTTTTTTTTTTGTTTGTTTGTTTTTTATTTTGTGTATGAATATTTTGACCGCATGTACATATGGGCACCATGTGGTATCCAAGAAGGTCAGAAAACGGCATGAGATACCCTGGAACTAGAGTAACGGATGGATGTGAGCCACCGTAGGTGCTGGGAACCAAACCCAGGTCTCTGCACCCATTTGTTTGCGTTTTATCAGTCTATCTGCTGTTTCCTTCCTCTCCTACTGGGTTTCTCTGTTGATGCTGTACTCGCCTAAGCTGCATGTATAGACTATACCCGCATGGCTTTTTTTCTTGAGGCATAAATTCTTACACTTTATAAGTATATTGCAGTTACTGTTGCTGCATAATAAATCACCCAAAATATAGTGGTGTTTTGGGGTTTTTGTTTTGTTTGGGTTTTTTGTTTTTTGGGGGGGAGAGGTTGGGTTTCTTTTTTTATTTTGGGTATTTTTTTTTTTTTTTTTTTTTTCCAGAGACCGGGTTTCTCTGTATTGTTTTGGAGGCTGTCCAGGAACTTGCTCTGTAGACCATGCTGGCCTCGAACTCACAGAGATCTGTCTGCCTCTGCCTCCAGAGTGCTGGGATTAAAGGTGTGTGCCACCACCACCTGGCACATGGTTTAAAACAAATTAAAGGGCTAGAGAGACAGCTTAGAAGTCAAGAACATTTGTCTTCTTCCCGAGGACTGTTCATGGCTGCTGTAACTTGAGCTCCCTTTACCCTCTGTGGGTATCCTCGTTTACTTGGCATACACACAGACACATACATTTTAAAAAATAAAGTAAGGCAAGGCCCTTAGTCCTAGGACTGGTCTACACAGTCTTAGGTCAGCCAAGACTACACACTAAGACCCTGTGTAAAAGCAAACAGATACGAGGTGTTGGAGATGATGGTTTGGTGGTTGAGAGCCTGGCTGGCCACTCTTCCAGATGAGTCTGGTTCAGTTCCCAGCCTCACATGGCCACTCAGAACCACCTGTAACCACTCCCGGGAACGCTTTTCTGCACGCTGAGGGTTACTGCACACACACGAGGCCCAGATATCCATGCAGGTAAAAGTATGATACATGTAAACATGAAGACTAAAAATTCTTTAATAAAGATTCGTGATTTGAGCTGATCTCAGAATTGACATCTGTTTCATATGGTATGGACTTGAATAACCTGAGTAAGTATTAAAATGCCTGTTTACCATGTAACTCATTCACGTACCTGCCAAGTCAATGCCATCAGCTAGAAGCTCACTTGGGGCCACTGGCTACGTACCTCAGGGTTTTCTCTACGTGGGCCCGTCTGTGAGACTCCTCAGGCAGCACAGTCTCTCTGGTGGTACCGTGCCCGGTTCTATCAGTGAAATCTCAAGAAACAAGTATCTTGTCTTGCCATTAAGCCTTGAACTTCTCCTGTCTCCACCCCCAGAGTACTAGGATTACCTGCGTTCTCCACAACACTCATTTCTACGCAAGTTTTTAATGTTACTAATCTGTACTGCATGCAGAGCTCTGTGGGCTATAACGGGACTCAGAAACAGAGGCAGTGCAAGGGAATGACATTGACGATGGGCAGCACGCATGTCCCCTGGTAGTACAGAGGAGCAGATGCCAGGAGCTCTGAGTTTGTCTCAGACCCTGAGAACAAGGCCCTGTCACCTTTGTGCTCTGTGGCTTCTCCCCACAGGTTATGCCCAGGGTTGTCCTTTCTCTTACTTGCTGTTTTTGCCTCGTTCCGCTCTCCATCTAGTAGCAAACCAACACTTGCTTTATGCTTTACCCCAGCTAATGTATGTGGGCATATAAATGTGAATTGTCTTCAGTTTTTCCTTCACATCCTTCTGAAAGAATTTTGAAAAATTATACCTCTGTGCACATTTTTAAGTTGGCATCTAAATTTTTTTATTTATTTTTTTATATGCTAAGTAATTGCAAAGGATGTCTGTTTTAGTGTAACTTGGCTAAAATTAAAAGATACTCAGCTGAGGAATGATTATACACGCCTTTAATCCCAGCACTCAGGAGACAGGCAGGCGGATTTTTTGGTTTGTTTGTTTGTTTGTTTGTTTTTTTGTTTTACATACTGTTGAAATGTATCCAGTAAAATCTAAAAACTAGCCCCTGTTTAAATATAGGAAAGCTCTACATTGACATGGTTCCTTTTTTTCCTCTTTGAGCTATTTGTAGTGTTCTCTAACCCCTTATGGAATTCTGTCCTGATATAACATGCTTTTAAGCCTTTAAGCTTTTTTTATTATGTATTATACATCTGCAATAAAAAATATGAATGTAAGTTAAATTTGGAGTTCTAAATTTTTTTCTGATGACTTTAAGCTCTGGTGGGTTATTTTTAAATGCTGAATTCTGCCATTGTTATGGTTTTTAATGTATAACTGATAAATTTTATCACATAAAAGGTAAAGATTTTTATTGAATGTAAGTAGTTTTGACTTTTTATTTGTTAATTTTAGAAATAAGGTCTGGCTGTGTAGCCCAGCCTGACCTTACACCTGACTCTCTTGGCTCTGCTCTCCAGTACTGGGATTACAAACACACACACACACACACACACACACACACACACACACACACACACACACACGTGCTTAACAGATACGTGCATGGGGGCTGGTGTGTGGGGGCCAGAGGCAGTCTTGGGTACAATCCCTCAGGTGCTGTTCACCTTGTATGTTGAGACAGGATCACTTGTTGGTTTGGAGCCAGGTAATCAGGCTAGACTGGCTGGCCAGTGAGTTGGGGTTCTGAGCCCGTCTCTACCTCTAATCATAGGAAGGAAAAGTGCACGCCATTTTACATACCAACCCCAGTTCCCCTCCCTCCTTCCTCCCACCCCACTGCCATCCACTCCTCAGAGAGGGTCAGGCCTCCTTCCCATGACTTTGAGGCAGGACCAAGGCCCTGCAAAGAGAATGGGCTTCAAAAGCCAGTTCAAGTGCTGGCATGAACCCTGCTCCCACTGCCAGTGCAGGGCCAGCCTTTGTTTTTGAGTGAGTTAGGGCTTAGTGTTAATCTTCTCCTTGTTCTTTTCAGAGAGCTGAGTACTGAGAAGTATTACTCAAGTAATAAGTAGCTGTGCTCACCCTCAAATACCCTAGCTCAACCCACCCTCAAAAGCCTTTTTACCTTGTAGTACTTGGCTTCAGGCGCCCTGACCTCCTCTCTTTGGAGGGTACTTCTGATGGTGGCTAGGTCAGTGGCCCCAGACTCGCCACAACAAAAGCCCTTAACTGCAGTTGCCAAATGGCTGCTACAAAGTGCCTAACTGTTGTTCCCTGTGCACTTGGGTAAAGGGCCTAGCAAGCACAGTGCCCAATAGTAAACAGTGTTCCGTAATCTTTTACCGCTGGTGAACAGCACTAGATAAGAGGGGACACAAGGAAAAACCAGGAGGTATTAGAAGGGCTTTGCCACAGTCTGTGCTGGGTTAGGAGACCAGATACCAGCATCGTTTTTTATTTTCGCTTATCAAAGTTTAATGTACATATAGGAGAATACAAATGCCATTCTCATTGCTGATATGTTTATTAATAAGAGTGTATGATTTGCCTATTTCCATTCAGATAATTTTTATGGTGGGACGAGGATATCTATCCCCAGATCTCAGTAAGGTACGGAGTAACTGTCCAAAAGCCATGAAGAGGTTGATGGCCGAATGCCTCAAAAAGAAAAGAGACGAGAGACCACTCTTTCCCCAAGTAAGAGAACCTGCATGTCACCCCAGGGCACCAACTAACCTTCATAAGCCGACGTTTAGCATGAGGGAGGGCACAGTCTGGACTCTGAGTTGGTCCCCTGTGCACATCCGGGTCAGCAGACGGGCGGTGACTTCCTGAAGGCCGGGCCGAGCTTGGGGTCCCAGCTCCTCAGCAGGACTTTGCCTTTGTCCAGCAGTCCTCAAACGCTCAAGGCTTATTTTACCTCACTTTGTGTACGAGCCACTTGTGTGCCTGGTACCGTCTGCGCCTGGAGAAGGTCAGCTCCCCAGATGCAGAGCTGTAACAGCTGTGAGCCACCACTCCAGCCCTAGTTCTCAAACATTTTGATCTTGGCATCCTTTCATATTTTAAAATAGTTAAAGACCTCTAGAGGGCTTTCATTTCAAAAATAGCAATTACAAGTTTATAAACAATGAAAAGAAATAGACAAAAGGAATGGTGTTGACTTCATTTCCCGAGACTGTTTGTGTAATTAACACACTTGGATCCTGTTTTATCCTCAGCATATGTGATGCTTCTGCATCATATACCATGTTGTCTCTGACAATTTACTTCAAAAATTCTATGGACACTTTTGACCCGGAGTTTTCTTGATGCTAAAATAGATTCTAAGTTTTCTGTCCGGCGTAGAAAGTTTATATTATATATTCATATTTTTATTATATTGATATTGTTATTAATTTTATTATTTTTATATTATATTCTTAAAATAACTGTATACTATAATGGGATCTTATTTCATGATACTCCAGGGTGTCATGACCTGGTACTCACTATGTAGCCTGTGGTGGACTAAAACTCAGACATATCCACCTGCCTCTGCCTCAAGGTGTGCTGGGACTAAAGGAGTGGTGTACACTGCCGCGTCTAGCATGCGTGCGTGGGTGCGTGGGTGCGTGGGTGACATTTGTGGGAGTTCCCAAGGAGGAGAGAAGGTGGTATTGGATCCCCTAGAGCCAGAGTTTCAGGTTTGTAATTCTAAATTTTTACTTACCATTTCAAGGATGGCGGATGACCTGAAATACAAGCAAACACTGAGTGACTTTGGTCATTCAGGTGTGTGTTTAGAAACCTGTGTTACTGTGCTAGCTTCTGACTTTTGTGTTTGTGGGGAAATGCGAGTTTCCCTTTGTTCATTGGTCATACTGAAAACAATGTAAAGTCTCAGGTGAAAATGTCATTATACCACCCAGACTGTTAATTCTGCTTTTTCTTGTTTCTTGTTTTTACTGTGCGTCCCCTTCCCTGCCCCTGCCTTCTTTCTTACAGATTCTTGCCTCTATTGAGCTGCTGGCCCGCTCATTGCCAAAAATCCACCGCAGTGCATCAGAACCCTCCTTGAATCGGGCTGGTTTCCAAACGGAAGACTTTAGCCTGTATGCTTGTGCTTCTCCTAAGACGCCCATCCAAGCAGGGGGATACGGTGCGTTTGCAGCCCACTGAAACAAACCCGATGAGTAAGACCTTAAAATGAGGTAGCAACACAAACAAACGGACACTTTTCCTGACATCTAAATTAACTAGGATACTGTTATGTATGTACAGGCGAGCCAAAGAATGTTTGTGTTTAAAAATTTAGGAATTGCTTTCCAAATCCTTAAGATCATAGTGGACATGAAATTTCCAGTGTCAGTGGGTTAAAATACCAAAGACTGCTACACATTTGCAGTGTCTCTTCCAGGGGCTTCACTTCCCAGCCTTGGTTACTCCTGCTGTTAAACACTAGGCTTCTCTCTCAGTTTGCTCATGCAACTTCCGTTATTAACTGTCCCTTGTCATGCGACACCCGGAGGAAGGCTTCTCCCTTTGTGTTCGTTCTCAGGTGGGAAGAACACAGTAGGCTAGCCTCTATCAGCTGTGCAAACTCGATAGATTATAGAACCAAGTAATCTTGGATTTTATTCTTTTCCCTATAACTATTTCTTTTTACTATGGTTTAGAAAGTATAGAACTCCTTTATTTTTTTGAAGCAATAAATAATTTCTTTTAATTTTGGATATGAGTAGCCAGAAATAACAGTCAGTAGCGCGTTTAACATAGGTAATATGACTTGACTTTGGATTTTTTACTGGAGAGTACAAATTAAGGTTCTTTTTTAGATGATATTTATAAATGTGTAAAAGTCAGAGTTCCTTGCAAATGCCCTGCCCTTTATTCTTACTCCCTTCCCCAAAAGAAATTTTGCAAAGTTCTGAGAATCTGGTTTTTATATAATTGGTTGCCAAGCAACCAAGTAATGGGTTTCTGCAGTTACTGTTAGGTCGTGCTCACCTTTTGATGTATGTCACCATCCTTTGACCCACAATACCCTGATGCAAGCCTGACTCTCTTCTTCCTGCATTCCAGTGTGAAGTACTTCTAATGTTTACATTTTTACGCATAGAAAATGAGTAAAATGTAACCATGATGGAGTATTATTTTCCCATGATTTGGAGAGAATCTAAAAGCAAAAAAGTAGAATCAAGTGGTCTCCTAAAAAACCTGCCATCTCTACTTCATAGACACCTAGTGGCCAAAGCCTATTGATACTCAATTACTCGGTTCAGACTTGTGATAATGCTTAAATACAACCCAAAGAAAAATAACCGTTCAACAGACAGACCATATTTGCATACATGTCACCCTCCTTTAAAAACAATAAAGCAGATAATTGGGAAAACTTTGATGATAATTGAGTTTGTAAGTACCACAGATATTTTCCTTACATTGTTTTATTTCATAATAAGGAAACTGCCTATTATTATAGATTGTTTTTTGTCCCTCATTTGAATAAGTTGAGATGCCATCATTTTATATACTGATGCAGGATCCTAAATATAAAAGAACATTTCTCATATTACAAAAAAAAAAAAAAAAAAAAAAAAAAGCCAGCACAATGAAATCAGTATCACGACAAGTTCCAGGCAGGCCTGGGCTATACATCACAGCCCTGTCTCACAAAACCTAGGACTTGGATATAGTCAGTGGTAGAGTTTGAGAACCAGCATGAGGAAAGGAAATGAGTTCAAACAATCCAAGTCTGAATCCTCCAATGACATGCAGATGAGTTTATTGATAGATGTCATTGCCTGTAGCTAACAAAGTTTTCGCAGAATTTACTTGGTCCATAGGGTGTGCAAATATTTTGAGCGTATGAAACGGTATATGGAAGGTTTTTTTTTTTGGTGGAGCTCTCTCTATAATCTCCCAGCTTACCTGTTTTACTAGTGGGTCCTTTTCCCATCCACTGTCTTTCTGCTCAGCACTGCCATGACCAGTACTCTACCGTCTTCATCTTCCTGGCTCACACTCCATCCTTTCCTCCCTGCCATTCTCCCGATTCTCTTCTCCTTTCTTTATCAGCAGCATTGGCCTTCCTAAGCTCTCAGGCTGCTCAGGAACTCATGTCCTACCTACCCATAGACACCCACGCATATTAAAATATGAGAGGCGAAATGTAGAGGTAGCATAGAGAAACAGCAAGCACTAGAATCAATTTCCCTTTGTGTGTTTTTGTTTTGTTGTTAGTGGTGCCATTTTGTTTGTCTTGTCATGCATAAAAGATTATACCCTAACGTTGTTTTCTAGGCCTTTTTTAATTTTTAAGTTGTGTGATTTTGGACAAGTTTCCTGAGCATTCTGAACCCCAACTTGTTCATCTATGAAACAGATTCTTTAGCCGGGCATTGGTGGCGCCTGCCTTTAATCCCAGCACTTGGGAGGCAGAGGCAGGCGGCTCTCTGTAAGTTCGAGGCCAGCTTGGTCTACAAAGCTAGTTCCAGAACAGTACAGAGAAACCCTGTCTTGAAAAAAAAAAAAAAAAAAAAAAAAAAAAAAACATATTCCTTGTTCAGCCCTGGCTGGCCTGGAACTTCAGATTCTCTTACCACTATCTGCCAAGCACTGGGGTAACAGTATGAACCAGTATGCGTAGCTTCTTTGTCTTTAGGCTTAACAGTGCCTTGGTTGGTTACTCATTAAAACGAACCTTTGATGAAGAGTGGCTATAGTCCAGAGCTGAGAGAAATGGTATTCCTGTAATCCCAGCATGAGGAAGGCAAGGTCGCAGGCAGTGATTAGAGCCGGGCAGGGTGGGCGCTCTTGTGTCTGAGGCCCGCCTGCTGCACTGTGAATCTGAGGCGTGAACTGCATGCTGTGAAACTCTTGCAGCCTTTGTTTTCTTGATGCAGTTTAGCTGCTCCTCACATGCCATGCACACACACTTGCATTCTTTTGTGGAACCAGTGGCTTGAGGTTTGAACTGCCTGGCAGAGTTTGTAATATATTTAACTAGCCACCTTTCAGTGAAGTTAAAATGAGGCTTTACTGTCTGAAGTTCTTTTGAGATAACTCTGTAAAATCAGCTCTTGTCCTCCCTCTACAGGAGAATTTGCAGCCTTCAAGTAGCCACCCCATCATGCCAGCATCTACTCTTCATTTCTTAAGTCTTGTGTTCACACAGTTTGTTAACATCAAAACACAGTCTGTTCCTCAAATCCTTTTTTTAAAGATACAAAATTTTCAATGCATAAGCTCGTGTGGAACAGAGTGGAATTTCCTATTCAACAAAAGAGGGAAGATATTTTAGGAACCAGAATTCTCTGCTGCCCGTGTTTCTTCTTCAACACAAATATCACCTGCATACAAGCCTGCCCATTCCCAGGAAGAAAGAGGAGAGACCCTGAATTCTGCCCTTTTGGTGGTCAGGCATGACGGAAAGAATTTGCTGCTGCAGCTTGGGAAATTTGCTATGGAAAGTCTGCCAGTCGACTCTGCCCCTCTAAGCAGATCAGCCTGTGCTGATCCTGTGATGGGGCAGTTTCAGTCAGCAAGCGTTGTTCCTGTTGTGGGTTATGTTGTGGAGCGCTTGCTTTCCCTACCCACTGCCGTTAGTTCCTGAGGGATGGAGTGAATGCTGCATGCCCTTGTGTGGCACCTGCTCAGTCCTGGAGGGTGAGAGGTGAGCAGACACCGGTGGGCAGACAGGGGGCGCTGCATCTCCTCCCTCGCCTCCCTCCCACTCGGGCGGGGCTCTGCCTAACCACGCGGGCGGGGCACTGCTGGCACACATTGCCTTCTTTTCTCGTTGGGTCCAGCAATGGAGGTGAGGTTGGGGGCTTGTTTCCCTCCACAGTGTAGCAAATTCTCAGGAAAATACAGTCCATTTCTTCCTCTCAGCTCTTCCAGTCACCAAATACTTATGTGGCCACCTTGTCCAGGACACAAAATGTCATGGACAGCATCTAATTAAAAGCCTACAAAACTGCTTACTGACAGTTTTGAATGTGAGAAATTGGTGTAATTTAAATGTAAGGTACATGTTTTAATTTCTAAGTTTCTTCTACTTTTATTTTTTAAAAAAAATAATTTTCAGGTTTAATTGGAATAAAAGAATACTTCCCACCAGAATATATATATCCTGAAAATTATATTTTTTGTTAATTGTAAGCAGCTTTTAAAGAATGATTATTATCCTTTTCTTTACCTAAAATTATGGGGAGTTTTAGCATAATGACAGTTATTTATACTTTTTAAAATAATGGTACTTGCTGGATCCACACTAACATCTTTGCTAACAATCCCTTGTTTCTTCCAACTTAATGCCTACACTACATCCTCCTTCTGCTCTTCTACCTATAATATGCAACCTAAAATAAAAATGGTGGCATCTCCATCTCCTTCTTCCTTTTTTTCCCAAGCCTGGTCTTCAAAAGGTTGGGTAATTTAATAGCTGAGTTCCCTAGATAGACATAGAACATAGAATTGGAGTTGCAGGAAGGTATGAGGCCTGTCATAAGTTGTTTTTATACAACCCTAAATCTTGCCTTTGCACAGATCAAAAGTATAACCTATTTACAACTTCCCTTGGCCTTTATTTAAGGGTAATAAAAAAATCGCCGTAGTAGTAAAGAAAGGGACTACATGTTTTATGGCCAGTGCCTCTCTTACCCAGGAATCTTGAATCTAGAAATGCAAATGGAAAGAGTTGTGCTTAGCAACTATGCTATAGCCAAGAACTTGAAAAATATGCTATAAAATCTAAAATAAAATGGAACTTTTAATTATTTTCAAATTTCAAAGCATAACTGGTCCCACTATATATTTGAGCCCACTCAAAATAGATGATTTTTTGCTAAAATATGTCATCAAAGAAAGACCTACTGAAATTTTTATGAATTCCCAATACATTGGAAAATATTCTGAAGTTATCGGTTAACAGCAATACATTTTTAAGTCTTGCGTGAGTAGAGCAATGTCTTAGAAATCATAGAAACTGAGATGAAAATGACTCTCTCTGATAGGGACAATAGCCTTTGCATGTGACGTGCCACCACGTTTGGAAAGGCTTTGCTTCCCTTTTAAATGCTTTTTAGTATGGCTTTGTTCCCTTTGCGCAGGGTTAGCTGGAAAGAGCTGGGCTGTGGCCATTGATGCACATTTAGGTCCTGCTGAGGAGTTAGAGC